ACTTTTCCTCCCACCCACGAAAGACTTTACACAGAGTACACGTAATAAAGCCTTACAAGTGCGATCAAATAACACGCCCCAATAGGGTATTGTAACTTTTGCGTCATTCATCGAATCACCCACACAGTATTACGCCTATTAGTAATACCAGCAGTAGTAATTACAATTAGCCTATTATATAAGATGGGCCCTTGTAGAAACGGTCTGTCTTTGTTATATGTACGATGTCATTCCGCAAAATGCGTGGTAGAGTAATGAGCAATCTAGTCACCATTAGTGGATACCTATGACGGGGTGTGTGTGTTCGGGAGGACGTAATTGGGACATAGACACAGAACTGGGCTGTATTGGTTTTCTTCTATTTCCTGGCGAATACAGTAAGGACTGTATGCGGGTTTCTTATGAATATTCTACCTTAGAAAATATGCTCAGGAGCTGTTCTATTCATGAGTTGGGACAATTCATTCCTACACGTGCTTTTATTAGCTTTTTACGTTGTCGTATCTGTGTGTTCCACTGAAATTAGCCTTCGGGCATGAATGTGCAAATAAATTTTGATTAAAAAGATAAGCCGGAAGACAGGAAATAACATTACAGTTTATTATCTTTAAATTAGGCAGAATAAATAGATAACTCGAGTAAATATTCAACAACGAAAATAAGGGGAACCGAAGAAGGTTTTTCTGAATACTTGACGTTCTTGTATATTTCTTTTTATGTGAAATAATACGGAGCTATACTACATCGACAATTCAAGTTCACTCGTTAACGGTCGCATTCGTCGTACGATTTTGATGTCGTATGCTTTTCAAGCATGATGACTAAGAACGGACCGCCGACAAGGATCCAAGACATCGCCAGTCTTTTTCGTAACAAGACATCTGAAGACATATGCACGACTATCACAAGAACAACTCTCACACAGCATATGTGCATGGGCCTTTAAAGAGAACCTCATATGAGTAGCTCTAGATCACTTTGTCATAAGCTAATTTAATCTTGTGTGGCCCAGATATTGAGATTACCATGTGTCATTTTAATATTCACCACATAAACGCAACGTAAAATGAACTTCCTTTCTTCCTTTGACAGGACGATCTACAAATCATTACCTGTCACATCGGCAAAACGAAGACCAGTTCGCAGCGTTCTTCGTCTGCAAAATGCCAAAATAGAATCTGACATCCACATGACAGAAATCATGATTGAATTGCACAGCGAGAAATTAACCTTCTTTTTCCGATCGTCATTGTGGTCTTCGATCACGTCCCGCTATACAGGCGGATTTTGATAAGAACTAGCTGTGCCATACACATGTCAGTGCAGATCCAAGGGGAAAGGGGTTATATTCATTACTACAAGAACGTAATGTCGATTTTGCGAGAGACGAAGTGGAAATAGATTGTGTAATGTTGATTGAAGACCAAAGCGAGGCCTGGATCTAATCTGCCAATTTTCGTGCCTTTCACGAAAACTTTCACTTTACACTTAAATACCTGATCATGGTACGTAGTTAGACTTCATGCTTATCTCCCAGGAACAGATATAGCGTACTGTCGCGGAATTATGATCACCTGCATTGTATTCGATGCGGTTCATATATATATACATATATTGTAACGCTATATAGATGGGAATATATTCTGTACAAATTACCAAGTAGTTAACAGACTATGGCGGTGGTATTATACAAGTAGTGAGAGAACTTAGCAATAGTGACAGACGCGTGTACCGTGAACGTGCTCAACGACCGAGCAATTTAACTTCAAGTACTGAGTACGTCCCACAACACACAGCTTCAACATGCATCAAGCGCGCGAGAGGGCGCCGGGATTAAAACACGTTTTCACCAAATAATACATTCTAAATCAACTACCTGACTGCCATGTTAAAGAGAGTGCGGGTTACATACATAGAAGAGTACATACTGTATTCAAATAAAGTCTTAATATGATTTCTTGGATAAAGACAATTTGAAAGTCGTTTCCTTGGATACACTTAAGATGATAATATTTACTGAATTCTCTCTAGTGGATGTTTTTGCAAATGTTTACGTAGATGTTTGTCACATTGATGCCAATGTTTGCAGGCACCCAGTGCATACTAGACACAAGAACCATGTACACTCCCGCCCGAAAATGTAGACAATGTTTAACGTAACGACCAAGACCTCTGATAACAGTCATACATATCTGAACAGATGCATTCATTGCAGTGGGGAAATGGCACATAAACATGGTAGATTGTAGATTGGTTTTCACCTGGTACGTGATGTATTGGGTAATCTGTAGGGCGTTAATTTGATTTAGTAGACAGATGATGAGGATGGATTGAAGGAAAGAGTGAGTAAGGATGAGCTTAGCAGAGTGGCGTTTTCACTCGATAAAACAAATTTCATTTTTATGAAAAGTAAGAGACTGAGATTTTGGGGGGGTGAAGGTATTGACTTATTACACATTCATTTAACTTTTGATCTTGATCGTTCAATATTTCACGCCCACCAAAGAGGACGTCATAAAAATCTCTAAAACGATTTAAACTAACTAGAAACCACAGCGACCGTCTTAACCCTTTAATGAGCACCATGTCACTAGCTAGCATAGAGATGACAAATTACGGAGGAGCTGTAATCTATTACCAGCGCCGTTATTAGAACAGGAATGAATCAGAAGTCTAGGATGATGAATATGTTTGCCAGCATGAAACATCTTAGTCTAATAGATGATTCCTGCATTATCACTGACAAGTGACGTCTGGGCTGCCATAGATGTACATGTGTACCTGGGAATCCCAATCATTGCTTATTCCATGGACCTGAAGACAGTTCGCTAATGCATTCACGATGCAGTGAGCTCACTTCCACAGTCTACACAAACACTATACAGACATTCAAATATGATTGAAATTTTCTTAGGAAGGAACGAAGTGAGGTCAACATACAACCTTTCATGGAACGTATACACAGCTCTAGACATTGACTTACATAGTTGTTATATGATGCGATACTGTGACAATCCCCTAGTCTATATATTGTGGATTTCGATGGCAAATTGGTAAAAATATAACCCTTAAAGTCGTCTTTCTTAGATGCCCAATAGGCTTCTCATGCTCTTCTTTAGGTACCTTTTAGCAGCTCTGTATTTCAAAAGGTCAAGTTAGCGTAGGTGTCTCTCCAACACACTCTGAATGCTGAAACCTGTACAAATCCCGCACTGGTACAGGGGAGGGCATGGACTGCATGTACCCCCGTGCTGGGTTCAGATGGACCGGAGAGCTGGGCTGGTAGCACAGGTTCGGACACGAGCCCACCGAGAATCGTGCGAATCTGCAGCTGGTAGAGGACATGGCCGCCGGCCTGTGGTCGTGCGGTGATGCGGTATAATCTTGGTACAGTAATGTCGCTGAGAAAGGGCCTATACCTGGTGGTAGACCCGGTTTCACTTCTTCACTTGGTTCGCGAATGATGATTCGTTTTGTTTTCTTGTCTCGGTCCTCTAGTAATGCCGTTATCCCACACAACATGGAGAAAACCCCGAGTCCAAGAATCAGCGGACCGGCCAGTCGGAACGTGTGCAGAAAGTCCCGGTCTGTGAGGAGCCCCAGGCTGCTGTCCATGTCCGTGGTGCTGGAAGAGTTGTTGGTGTTGTTGTTCTGCACAGATATCACCACGTACTCATACGCAAACATGGACAGAACTACGCCAATGGCGAAGACGAAGAATCCCATTACAATAATGACTGTGGGAAAAGACAGAAGGTTGATCCTGCCCCTGATCACCATGATTTGAGGTGGTTTGGGTACAAAATGGCGCGCCTTCTGTAGCCCTTCTTTCTGTAGTTTCAGAGTCCGTTTTCTTCTCTCGCTAGCTAATTTTGCGCCCGCTAGGGCGCCACGTCCCATCATCTTGACGGGTGAAAATCGGCAGCAGTCCAAGAGAGTACCCAGCAATCACGCGTGGCTAACGCCTTTTACACGCGGGTCTAATTATTCTGTGACACCTTTTAAAGTAGGGGGAATCCTCGTGTTCACTCCGTGTTGTGGAACCATACTGATGTCTTAAAACGTCTATAGCAATCAGCCCTGGGCAGAGATCACGCCAGATCCTGTCTACATCAATAAATTCTGCCTTCCTTCTAAATATCATTAAAGAAACGCACCATCTCACACCACAGTCTGGTGCGAAAACGTTATTGCATTACGGGAAGTTTTACAATTGCTGGTCTTCACTATAGGAAAATATATATACAGCATGTTTCTTTACCCAGAGCATAGTCACAACCCATCGATGACAACATGTCGAAATAACAAGAGGTTCCCACGTACATTTCCAGGATTGACGTTCTACGTCTGTCTGATGTATGCATCAAGATGTTTTAGAGCCCACAGATTCGCCTTGAGGCAGTTCGTTCAAGAAAAGTTGATTCTACGTCTCGTAGGACGAGTTCTTGGCGTCATAACATGTCTTTGGTTTTTAGGTACGATCATTCTTCTGTTTTTCAATAATAATGGATGGTTATGATAAAACGTGCACCAGTTCAGCACCGCACTCACGAAAGAAACGACCTCACTTCCCCGTCCAGTGGAGATCCCGGGAGCTGTACAGAAAAGTGTGCGGACGCACAATCTGTCAGTCAGACGTCAACATAAAATCCCGCGTAAATCAAACATTGGCTTTCCAAAAGGCCCATATACGATCCTCAGCTTCTGTGTACCGTGGCAAACTTCAATTAACAACAGCTGTTACGGTAGTACTATATTCAATGATTTCTAACGAGCTGGTTTGCTCATGTTAGCTTAAAAAGACAAGACAGTCAAGAATTCTAGACATGAAATACCTCCGGTAAAATCGTGTCCGCCTCCTTGTAGAGAACCGACGATTGAATAATGCGACCTTTCGTTCCGTTTCTACACAGCTCCGCAGGAAGACAGGTCCGCAGGATCCAATTGCAGGGTCAGTATTATTAGACGAACGGGAGGGGTCGTTGGTGATACAAGAGTCTGTACAGAACCAGCCGTGATTCTGGAACATGTGAGCCAACTCGTGATACGAACCACCGCTGGGGTCAGAGTGGTGCTATAGAGGAAAGACGACCCGAGAAATTACAGCCCACTATAAGTCACCCCACGTACACATCACACGGGTACTACCACCTCTACATCAATGATAAGGCCTGCCTCTCCCTTCTTCTGCTGCACTGGAAACGTGGAGACTTTAATGCGCAGGCCAAATGAAAGTTGAACACTGTTTTGACACAATTTGTCTTTAAAATGCAGTGTCGTCAATATATTTTCTAACTATGAACATATGAATAGTAGCTAAACGTAGCAAACAAATACAGATAGACTATCAACATCATTATTTTCTATTAATGATTCTTGACTTTATCTGGAATATTCATTTTCAAAATTACTACCCGATCAGGCGGGAAATTACATGTTAGCAGTTCATCAGGTCTAAACATATACCTCAATTATACATATCCGGTCCAAATTCTGGTTATTTCAAAAAAACACGTACGTATAGTTGAGCGTGTAGTTACCATACCGCGCATTCGTGATGAGTGTTTCGCGCATTAGTTGACTAACCTTCTCCCTGCTGCCTAACGCCGTAATCAATGTAGAATTGATGATCAGACGGTGACTCCAGTGTGCTAGAGGTTAATCATTAGTGTGCCCTATTGCCATTCAAAGAAAAGAAATACCACTTACGAAACTCTACACACACAGATATCGATTGGATTCAACAACAGTGACTACAGCTAGCAATCCACCCGCTGTGGCTTATGATTGCTCTCCAAGATTATATGATGCCTGGCTTGGTAGTGGGGCACATCACGGGCACGTGCACGTGGGAGTCATACAATCCTCTATATTACCTATTTGTACATTGGTCATTGATGAGTAAAATTCGCTTAACTTCTGGGGTACCTATATTATCAACATCGTAATTCTTATCACATCAGCCCAATGGCTGAACAACAGTCCCATCCGAGAATGACAGTCTCTGCCACAAAGGTCACATCGGTAAGCTGGCTCAGTTCTGTTGCAGAGTTCGGATCCTAGCGTACCGCGGGCCTGCCAAAATACATGTATGAAGCTTACGACGAAATCTCATTTGACGCCAGGACTTGAGTCATTCTTTATGTAAAGGTTAGGAGAGCGAACTGTGGGATTGACAGACGCAGAGAGGGTAATAGAAGTCACCTGATAAATATGCCGGTCGAATGTAGATAAGGTTCTCCCCTATCCTGGAGGTGAAAGACCGGTAAAGATTTTGTCATGAATCCAATATTCTTCTAGCTCTTCGCCAAAGAGTAAATATGGTTTGAACTTGATATACCATCTCGTACTTTCGCTTTATAGGGCACATTTAATTTTTTCACACAGGGAGCAATATCAAATTTATGCCCAAATTTCATGTGGAGTGAAACTAGCGGTTTCGATAATCCAATGTACCCTAGTTGTCACATTGACAAATTGCGCAGTCGTTAGCTGTGCGTAGCTTTGGTAACGAAATCAAATATATAGATTTGTTACATAAAAAATTGCACCTAACACGTTAGAATATATATGACATTGTATTTAAGATTCTCATAAGAAACATGCCGATTCAAATTAAGCGGCTTAAGTGTCACCGTACCGCCAGTGAATGTGCCATGGATACGTTTGTCGGATAAGATCTTATGACATGTAGCTTGTCACGTGTAACTCACAAGAGTAATCGTGCCAATGTCCTTATTATAAAATATGTTTTTATATGACGAGTAATAGAATGCACTTAGCTGTTTGGCTACGATGAAGTTGGCTAAAACGTGCTCAGGGTATTTTATGTTAAACTTTGCCTCTTGATTCTCAAACAGTCTGTTCGTCTTATTTTAAGAACATAGGCCTTGCGTTATCATACGGTTATATCTCCAACTTGTTTGTGACAAATTCAGTGATTTGCATTTTTAGAAGATGCATCATCTTAACAAAGGACTTTAAGCTTTTATAATCTGCTCAACATCGTGCCTTTGTAGCCGTGCTGTGTTTGTTAATTTGTTTTGTCTAACAGTAACTGGATGGCTGATGCTTCATCAATTTCTTACAAGCTTCGTTTTTCCTCAGTTTCCTGTGCTTGCGTCCAATGCATTTAGAGCATGAAATTGGAAATCTTACACTTCCTGGGATTGGTTTGGAACTGTGGGGATTGTATTAAGTGATTTTATATACACAGTACTATTCCTGAATTCCTCCACGTATACGTAACTGCCCAATACATTTTGCACCAAATCGCGCGTCGGGTCACCTTCAAACTTGATATCCCTGTCAATCATCTGGAACACACTTTCCCTGCAAATATATACCTCTGCTACAAGCATACATACAATCCTAAATACAATCCTAAATACAAACCCATCCAAAAATCAATATTGCAGACATTATAATGCGTGAAAACCCGTGAATTTTCCCTAGTATCATAGCCGACCATTTGGCACTCGCTGGAAATTTAGAAACCCTTCGTTCCTAGCAGAGACGTATAAGCCAACATGTAAACTGGTCATACATGATTTGCCATACATAATAACTTCTAACGTTACATCGTGTTTTGATATATGAGTTTCATTGTGAATACATCCCAGTAGACACGCGCCGAATGGTATCAGCAGTGCCAGTGACCATTTTGTTTTCATCTCCATCACTCCAAGAAGAAATCAAGTGGATCCACTCACGCTGGATCTATAACGTACTCACCTGAATTAATGTGGTCGCTGTCGCCAGTTTGTACACGTGTACTGTTACAGAAGGATCACCCATTTTAAATGCTACACATCACTTGAAATTGACTACGATATCGATGTTGATATGAAATGCAATGTAGTTAATGTTAGGCAGACGCCCTTTATTATTAGGGTGAAAGATGGTGCTCTTTGAAGTGGCTAGTCGGTGAAGGATGGTGCTTTTTTCATGTGGCTAGTAGAAGTGCAATACGGTCTGTCACAGCTCGCGTTTTCAGTCAAGCAGACTGGGCCACCCTACTTCTTCTTCTTCTTTACTCATCCTCTTCTGAGGTACAGCGTGTGAAGTTCTGCCGCCAGTCTTTCATAGCAGACAAAAGTTCCAATCCTTGTAGACCAGTGTCAGACTAGATAAGACCCTTAAGTGTTGTGATTGGACGACCAATCCTCCTTTTTGCCTCTGGAGTCCAGAGTAGCAATCGACCCGCTGGTTCGCCACCCTACACTTCTCCATTAATACCTCCATCAAATGTCATGAAGGTTATATCTTCAGTTGCGTTTGTCTGTTTTTCTGTCTGTTAGTCAACAACATAACGCAAGAACGACTGAATGGATTGGTTTCACACTTGGTGTGTTGGTAGGGTGTGACGAAAACTGAAAATGATGATATTTTTGGGCCCCCTAGCGGCTGAATGGATTGGTTTCACACTTGGTGTGTTGGTAGGGTGTGACGAAAAATGATGATATTTTGGGCCCCCTAGCGGCTTTCCCTGGTACTGCAGCGAAACTTCATGTTTTGATATCACGCGATCTGGACATGCTAGGGTCATGAATTTCGATGGTAGGTAGCTCTTGTGCTCAGGAAGAAGTCACGTGAGTTTAAGTTCCCTAGCAGCTTGTTCTGGAACTGCAGGGCGGTTTGTT